GTAGGTAGGTAGGATGGAAGGTAGGTTGGAAGGAAGGTAGGAAGGTAGGTAGGTAGGAAGGAAGGTAGGTAGATAGGTAGGAAGGAAGGTAGGAAGGTCGGTAGAATGGAAGGAAGGAAGGTTGGTAGGTAGGTAGGAAGGAATGTAGGTTGGAAAGAAGGCAGGAAGGAATGTAGGTTAGAAGGAAGATAGGTAGGTAGATAGGTAGGAAGGTAGGAAGGTAGGAAGGAAGGAAGGTAGGTAGGTCGGTAGGAAGGAAGGAAGGAAGGTAGGTAGGAAGGAAGGTAGATTGGAAGGAAGGAAAGTAGGTAGGTAGGAAAGACGTCCTGCAGGAGTCTTTAATGGATGTACAGTATTATCAAGTGTCCCTACCGTCTCTTAGTGTCTGAACTGAAGGAAGTGTGACTCGGTTTATAGAAGCTGTCATGTTTTTTATTTTAACAGAGATCTGGACATTTACGTCCCTGAGCTCTCGACTTTCAGTAACTGTGGCCCCTGAGCTCTTGACTCTCAGTAACTGTGGCCCCTGAGCTCTTGACTCTCAGTAACTGTGGCCCCTGAGCTCTTGACTTTCAATAACTGTGGCCCCTGAGCTCTTGACTCTCAGTAACTGTGGCCCCTGAGCTCTTGACTCTCAGTAACTGTGGCCCCTGAGCTCTTGACTCTCAGTAACTGTGGCCCCTGAGCTCTTGAACAGCCTGCTCTAACGTCTTCAACTGATCAGCTCTTGGAAACAACAGATCAACATGGCCGCCGCCGCCGCAGATCAAACTTAAACACTGAAATTGTTTTAATTTGGTCATATTTGCAGACACTGAGCTAAAATTCGGCGTGTGGTAGCCGAGAGTCGTCCTCACCACGCACTCTGAGCACTCACATCTTACAAGGTTTGAACAATAAGACCATAACATCCCTTTTCATAAAAGCCAGAGTTTAGTCTAAAAGAAGAAGAAGTGAATAAACGCTTCTTGTTTTGTTCTCGCAGGAGATCAGCAGACGGCCGACAAGCGTTAGCTCGCTCTTCTCCTGCTAACTCTACGTAGCACAAGCCGACACTCGCTGAGCGGAGGCGCGTCTGATTGTTTGCTCTTCCTCGCTCTCCTGTCTCGGCACGTCACCTCTGGAGAAATATTTGGGAGCGCTCGGCCGACCCGTTCCTTCACTGAGCCGAGCGTCTCGCTGCAGCTGGACCGGCTGCTCTTTAGGAAAAACACCTGAAGATCTGAACACGGCCTGAAGGAACCGTTGAATAAATCAGATTCACTGAGGGGTCCGAAAACACTCGAGCAACGCAGCTCCAGACAAACTTCACTCGTTTTCTCACCAACCACAAACCGAACCTGTCGACGGGTTCTTGCTTTGGAGCCTCCTGCGTCTCCATCCCAGGAACAATTTACGATTCAGCGTGTGATCAGAATTCAACTCGAGTTCAACTTTAATGCTTTCAGACGGCGCCCTCCTTCCACCATGTGATTAACCTGGGGTCGCATTTCCTCTTGCGTCCACCCCAGTCTGTTCTTAAAGAACATTTCTGTCGATGTTTCTGAATCCTTCTCACTGTTGAGATCCCATTTTCTTCTGTAATTTGTCAGAACGAAACTCGTCCTGTAAGTTTTTATCTATTTCAACAATTCAAGTCTCAAAACGTTCGGCTCGTTCACGACATTCTTTTGGTTCAGGTTGTACTTTCAGAAACATTTAGCTTTTTCAGCCGTGTTCTCCTCATTGAAAATAAACGGAGCTCTCTTCACATCCTTTGAGCCGTTTACAGCGTCTCCTGCTCATTTCAAGGTTCAACCTTCTTTATTCTCATCACATCACATGTGGTACATGAGGTGGGACAAAACTGTGTACTCAGGATCCGTTACACACAAAAATAGCAAAAGTATAAAAGGAAACGGTACACAAGGATAGAAGATATACAGTAAACAATAATAATGTAAAATAATACAGTATATTAAACAGCAGCCTGAACATGAGTCTGTAGTGAGCAGATGGGTATGAATACAGCAGCTTAAAGGCAAGAGATCAGCAGCATGATAAGTGATCAGCAGCACAGATAAGTCAAATATCACCAATTAAAGTGGCATTACAGTCATTTTCCTGGTTAGAGATTAATGAGTCTATTTCAGCTCATTTCATACTTTAAAAAAAATGTTGCTAATTTCAGTGTTTTTTGTGATCTATTATACGTTATATCTATATTATATATTATATATATTATATTATATTCTCTCTGCCCATTTCATGTTATTCTGTTCATTTCTACTTCCGTCAGTTTTCCAGCTTTCATTTTCCTGCCGTCAGTAAATTCTGTTCAGATCGAACCATCAACCGTTCAGTGACGAAACCTTTTCAGCAGAAATCATTCAACATCTTTCACGCTGCTTTTTCACAGGACGCCACAACGACCACGACAGGAAACAAACCAACAGCCAGACAGGAATTACCCAAAATGCATCTTGACAAGCCCAGATGTTGTGGACACACAGCAGCTGTTTGGCTACAGTCACATCAGCTGTTGTTTTTAGTTGTGGAAGCGTGTAAACAATATATTTATTCATCTACAACATTTCTGCTGCAGCTACCCATCGTTTTGTTTTGTAAAAAGACTTTAGGACTTACTTTGTAATGACCTAAATCATTATATTTTGATTTAAACTGTAAGTCAAATGTATTACAGCTGTAAAGACAACACGTTTGAAAATAATTTAGAACGCTCAAACGTCAGCACTGGGGGCTGAGCACCCCTAAAGGGCACATTCTAGAATCGCCCCTGCATCAAAATACAGCCGAGTCATTTAAAGTGAAACTTTCTGCGTTTAACAACAAAAAAGGTTGAATCATGTCATCTGGACTTCGTTTTTGTTGTTATATACCTGGATGACTGAGAAAACAAACTTTGTGTTTCTGCGTTTAAGCGTTAAATGATGTTTCTGCTGCAGACTGCAGGCTTCACCGCTCGCTTCTGCCAATCCCAATGTTGTTGTTTTTTGGCTAATTTCATCTCATTTAATCTGCTTAAGCTGTAATTGCAGGTTTGTTCTGGTGAGCCCGTCCTGCAGCGCAGCAACGGCCGCCCGAGGCCGTGAGTCAGACACACCAGCACAGATCGTGTAGCCTGCGGCGCAGCAAACACTCATGGAGGAGTGGTGGCCCCACGTTGCTCAACCTGTTCACAGAACAGCTCTGGCTCTGTTCTGAGCTCACAACCACAGGCTGAATGAAACAGATTCGTCTGATACGATCTGCAGCATGAACCTTTTGTGTGTTTAAATCCAAGATCTCTCTATACTCTGCACACACATCACGTGACATGTTCAACAAATCACAGTTTCAGTGTGAATTCCTTCAGACGACACCCGACGCTTTCTTTGTCGTTTACCGTGCAGCCGCCCTCCGTCAGGTTTCTGTTCACCAGAGGATTAAGAAATGTGCTGTATCTTAGAAATGATGCTGCGAGTGCAGGGCAGCGTGTGTTTAAGAGCTTTGCTAACCGGTGATTACACACCTGGTCTCAAACCTGTCCACACTCGCCGTCTGACGGCAGGGACAGCCGCGCTCCTCGGTTCAAACCACCTCCTGATGCAACACGACGCTTTTATCTTTACGAACAACTGGAGCTGCAGAAATGTTTCATAGCTGCTGGTTTAAACCCATTTCACCACCTTAAATCTGCAGACTGTGACACCTTGAGCCTTTAAGACGATGAAGCCGAGTGTGATTCAGCTCTGAGTCGTGGGTCAAACATCCAGGAAGTTCAAGCTTGTTGTTGCTCTGCTAACTGGCGTATGAAACCTGCACGAGCAAACACATCAACGTCTCATGTGATGGCTCACACCACCCTCCAGAGCTGCCCAAAACACTCCCCACAAAGCAATGTCCAACAACAACAACAACAACAACAACTCCATCCATGTACAGTTTGATCAAACACAGTCCAAGCTGATGTGTCAGCAGGAATGAAATGTGATCCTTACCGTCGTTAAAGCCTTCAGGAAGGCCTAACCACATTTGTGATGCATTCAACTGCAACTTGTAAATCCAAAAACATTTGCTGAAATTGTAGTTGGTCTAACAAAAAGCAAGATTAAAAAATAACATTTAGGTTTGCATTGATAGTTTTCAACATTAAAGTTGTGTTTTGGTTTCATTACATGATGGAATTTTACAGAAGCAGTAAGTTCTGTTGGTCACTGTTAAATTTTAGAGCAGATTATTGAAATTACATGTCGTATTTGAACGCAAGAGACTGAGTGAGCCGCAGGGCCTTCTGGGTAATCTTGGGACAGAAACGAGTAGAGCCCGACCGATATGGAAGTTTTGGCTATCGCCGACACAGATATTAGGAGGGGAAGGCTAATGTCAAGAACCGATATAATGGATGAAATTGTTTTAGCTTTGTTCACCTTCAAGAATCTAAAGAAACAGCGAGTTGAACGGGGCTTGTTTATTTAGCCCAGCTGTTAGCAACCATGAAGCTAAGCTAACCAGATCCATGCTATACGTGGTCCAGCAGCAGGTTTACAAGTGGAGCATAAAAACAGTCTTATTAACGTGTGTTCACATTTTCTATCCTCCACTATTCACCATATCAAGTATGTTACAACAATACAAATTAAACAAAGAAACACCTTCCTGTTCATTGTTTAAACAGTCACGTACGGTGAAGGGCTAATTAGCATTGATCGCAGCAGAGTTAAATTTTCTTTGTAGAGAACTAAAGATTTCAAACAAACAATTCATTTCATTGAGGACGACAAAGATAATGTTACTAACTCTGATATATTTTACCTCTACGTTAGATTTATTGTTCTGGATAAAGTTTTAACAGACAATATCCTAAGCTAAGTTAACTAAATGTTAGCTTGCTAACTTGAAAAGACCAGCAGGTTGGAGAATTGAAAATAATTTATTATTGCTGATTTATTTTACAGATGGGTTCAAATAAATTTATCATGCTTTGTTCAGTAAAATACACTACACAGTATTTAGTTGCTTCCTGCTTCGGCTGTGCTGAAAGTGCAACTTAAGTGAACGGCCATGACTTGAAAGTAGTCTTCAAGCGCCCTCTGCTGGATACATTGTACAATTACGGCTGGTTCCAGCATTTTAGGGATGAAAATTAGAAGTGCTTATATCAGTGCATAATGGGACACTTATCACAGATACGATATGTCCCCAAATGTCTATATTGGCCAAAAAATATCGGCCCCTACCGATAAATCGGTCAGTCTCTAGAAGTGAGTAGACGTCTTCAAGTTCTGTGTTCAGATGGGTCGTTCCTGTTGGTTCTGTTCAGTGTTGGGTTGGTGTTTATGTTCAGGTTGTTGTTAGTGACTGTAAATAAATGACTCCATCAGTCAGATCTTATACTTGATGGATAAAAAGATGTTTGATGTCAGCGTGTTTAAGGTTGTTACAAACTTACTTAAATGAAGAGTTAGTTCTTACAGTCACGGTTCGTACAGTCACGGTTCGTACAGTCACGGTTCGTACAGTCACGGTTCTTACAGTCACGGTTCATACAGTCACGGTTCTTACAGTCACGGTTCTTACAGTCACGGTTCATACAGTCACGGTTCTTACAGTCACGGTTCTTACAGTCACGGTTCATACAGTCACGGTTCTTACAGTCACGGTTCTTACAGTCACGGTTCATACAGTCACGGTTCTTACAGTCACGGTTCTTACAGTCACGGTTCATACAGTCACGGTTCTTACAGTCACGGTTC